AATTAGCATTTTTTTTCAATGATTGTTGCAGCTTTTGTATATAAATTTGAATTGTCATTGTTGTTAATTGAATCAAAAACTTTAGAGGAAAAAAAATTCATAAGGGGAAAAAACTTAAAACGCAAGAGTAAATATTGGAAAACTATCCAATGAGTTTATTTGATAAATAATCATGAAAGATTCGTGCATATAATGACAAAAATTATTTGCCTCCCATAAAAGGAAAAGAAAAACAAACTACCATATAACCGTGTATTAAGAGTAGATACATGGGGAATACGATGCTAAACCCGGTGATTTTCACCGGGTGACTCTTTTCTTGGCATGTGTCCTTTTTTATTTATTTTACAATTATATTTCTAAAACCCATTGGGCCATAACTGAACCCGTAGTGGGAATCTTATTAATTTGGGTGCCTGGTTAAACAATTACTCTTCTATTAAATGTGAATCGTGTATGCAAGTTTTTCCCAAAACCTAGCTACATTTTTCATATGATTTTCGTAAAACTTTAACTAACACTTTGCTCTTTTATTGACTTTTCCATGTCTCACGGACGCTTCCTTTCATGTGGCAAAGTTTTGTTGCCCATAGTCGTCTATTTCAGTTGTAGAGTGAAGTGATCGCGAAACTGATTTTGCTGCATCCGAGAAAAGAATTGACAATATAATGCGACGCGCAACAAGATCTAACTAATAAATCGAGATAGAAGAATTTTTGTTAAGTATTTTGCGTAGTTATCATGTTGCATTATCAAATTTGTAGAAATGTTAATGCTATTACAGAAATTTAAATTTATTTATTTTTATTACAATTATTATCGTCACTACCTATTTCAGTAATATTTATTATCTATAATTTTCCTAATAACACACATTTACAACAACTCCCCACTTGAAGTAACTCCCCGTTAATTAATAACTTCCCATATCCACTATATAATAAATTCATATATGTTCCAAGAAAATCGTTCATATTTGAATTTTCTTTTGTGTTTTAATCAAAATTAGGGTTGTGAATGACTCATCTTCGTTGGAGGTGGAAACCAACAACAATTCTTGGGTGTACCTTGAGGCTCTCTTATTTCTATGTCCATCTACTACTTTATTACTTATTTATTTTTATAATTTGTTTTCTATGATTTTTATCAAAACTAAAGAGTCTTTGCGTACACTTTGTCACGGATTCCCTAAGTATCAATCTTGAGGATGTTAAGAAACAACAAAGTAAGAGGTGTCAAATGATGATATTCTAGACTTCGACAACATATGAAGCATTGGGTTAGATTGTTCAATTATGAAAACTATTATTAATTGTATTCAACAAGTGTTCAATATTGTTTATCTTTTTTTTTTATTTAAATTATTTTATGGTGTCATATGTTTTCAATTGTTTAATTTCAGTATATTCAACAAATTAAATTTTAAATAATTATTTTCTTCTCTTTTGTAATGGTATTCCGTGCAACGCACAAGGCATGGTTACTAGGGGCATTTTAGTCATATTTTTATTTTTACATTTTTTTTTCTTTCAAACAACGTTGAACACAAAAACCGTCCACTCCGAAGAAAATTCAATACACGATCTTCCTTATTCCCTAA